CACTTCTCCCAGTATTTTCTGAGTTCTGACAAGTCAAAAGCATACTATAATTTATCAGCTAAGCAGTTTGTAGGGATCCCAGGAAAACACTATTTGGTTGACATTATGTGATGCTGCTTTCATGCTGAGGGTGGGGTGGGAGTGTCTTTCTGACCACTCTGAGGTTGATTTCCAAAGGATTCCCAGCAAATACCAGCATGCATATAATTCAGAATCAGTTTTGCAAAGATTTTCACTGTTCTACTAGTGACTGTCCCGTAACCAGTACCATCAGGGAGCAGCAAGAGCCAAGGTGTGGAAGAGAAGTATCTGTAGGGGCCAGAATGGAAGCGGAAGCGCCAGGACACAAATATTTTCAGAGTTGTCCCTTAGAGGAGAACTAGGTCACAGCAGAATTTCAGTCAAACAGAATCAGTCACATCCATTCTTTGCATGAGTTAGAAAAACTATGCTTAAGTCCATGCAGTTGATTCAGGATTAAATGTAGAATGTGATACAAAATGAGGTATTCCCAGTGCCATAAAAAAAGTTAAAATAGAATTGCATGGTATGTACTTAGAGTCTTTATGGCAGTAGCTGTACATTCCCAGGGAAATGGCTAAGGACTTTACAAGGATGGCTTTCAGCTATGCAAAACAGAAGAGAACCTCTTCTTAGCTCTAAATAAACTTGCTCATCTGGTGTCTGAGTCATCAAAATTTGTGTGTCAGTGATCTCTAATTAAAAGTTTTTAAACTCTTTGTCTTTATTCTTGTTTACTTTTCCTACTAGTGAAATGTAGCAAATAGATATAAATAATTAAGATAATACATACCCAGAAAAATGTATTCCTATTTTTACAGGGATGCTCTGACAAAAGAATTCCCTCCTGAGTTGTTATCTTCAATGGCATTGTTATTGGTCAGCTTTTTTCTTTTTCTCTTGCCTGCTCACAACTGCTCTTCAGAACGTGATCATTTCAGATCCTAAAATAACATTTCACCTACTTTATTCAGCAATACATTCTGAACACTCACATGAGAAAAAGTACATTTCTAGTGATGTTGTGTGCTGAGATATTTACACTGGAGGTTAGCATGTATGTTAAAAGAAAGGTTTGGGAAAGACAAAAAGCTGCTTTTGTTCCTTTAGATTTCTGAAAAACTGGATTATTTTAAACTATCCCCCATTTTTATATGCTGATGTGTGTAAAAGGTTAGCACTACTTCAACTGTAGAGATGAAGGGGAAAGAGCAGAAATCCTGTGATGGAGAAGATTATAATGTTCTAAAAGGACATATTCTCCATACAACTTTACAGATCTCAAGACTTAACTAACATAAGGAGACAGTATGTAAGAAAGGGGAATTAAAATGTTCCTCCCTCCTGCTGGCTTCTCTAGTTGGCAGCCAGGGAGGTTTTTCAGCCAGAATGTCCTTGCCTGCAGGGGAATGTAAGATTCTGAATTGTTTTTTTCATGAAAAGCCTATGGGAAAACATGTATTTGCTAATGGTTCTGGAAAAGGTAATGGATTATTGTAACTCTTCCTTTAAATTTGTTTTGTCCTGATCACAACATGAACAACAGAATGTTGCAGCAGAAACATATACAGGGCAGATTGTCCAGGTGCTTAGCGGACTCACTGAAAGTAAAGGAAGTTTGCTGTCAGAGTTCTTGATTTTATCAACAATTTGGGATGTGACCAGCACTTAGCCTGCAGGAGTCATGAGTGTTGCTGCTGAAGCTCGCTGTGATAGTGCCTGTGCTGTCTACATCTGATCAACACACGTTTCTGCGACCTCTTCTGAGATGCATGTAGCTGTTTCTCAATGCATACAATGCTGTGCATACTCTGCCTTGCACAACGCTGTGAGCAGAGAGCTGAGCCTGGCATGAGTGCTGCAGAGGCTTCTCTGGCCAGAACTCCTGGCAAGAATTTTAAGGAAGAGTTTGCTTGCAATTAGCTGATATAAGGATATAACAAGTGATTACTTGCAGCAGAGAGCACAGTAATCCATTGTCAAACTGTAATGGGAAAAGAAGATGGTATTTGTGAAGAGAAACTAAGTATTTTATTGTGACTGTTCTTTATTCTCAACTCTTTACAAAATTAAAGCAAAGTACAAATGCTATTGGTGGTGGTGTTGCCCTTGACTGTTTTTCAGTTAGCATTAAGCTATGTCTTTTAACAAACGTATAGGAAATATAAGTAAAAAGTTGTTTAAAACTATTATAAATTTTATTTTGGTCACCACTGTGAAAAAAGTCTTGTTCTGTCTCTCTGAATCAGCAGTTTGTTGGTAAAGACTCATCATATGAAAATAGTTGCTTCTGGATGCATAACGTTTAAAAAGTGCTTGGCAAATCTGGTATCACAGAAAACTGGGTAACATGCTGGAGCCTCTCTATGCTGTGGTCTGGGATGTATTGGAAGCATGTGCTCACACACTGCAGCTCTGAGTTCAGATACCATTGAATGTGGGCAGATCATGGTAAGATAGCTAAATAGTTTCTGCCCGTCTCTGCTCTACTTCTTTCCTGAAAGCTTGTATTTCCCTGATAAGGAGAGGCAAAGAGCCTGAAAGTGCCTTTAAAATTGCATGGACTAAAGGTACAGAAGGTGGCTGAGGTGTCATTCCTTTGTGAAATGTGTGTCACTGGACAAAAGGGAGGAAGCAACTGAAAACAAAACGAGGTCTGAAGTTCTGCACAGCCTTCACTTCCTCTCTTGTACAGGGCAGATAGATCCTATTTCATTTATTATTAAAACTCCTGCTG